ACCACAACATTAGGATGTGTATTAAAGGGTGGGGGCGGATGTCACGACAACATTAGGATATGTATTAAACGATGGGTGCCGATTTCACCACAACATTAGGATGTGTATTAAAGGGTGGGAGTGGATGCCACCACAACATTAGGATGTGTATTAAAGGTTGGGGGTGGATGCCATCACAACATTAGGATGTGTATTAAAGGGTGTGGGTGGATGTTACCACAACATGAGGATGTGTATTAAAGGGTGGGGGTGGATGTCACGACAACATTAGGATGTGTATTAAAGGATGGCGGTGGATGCCACCACAACATTAGGATGTGTATTAAAGGATAGGGGTGGATGCCACCACAACATTAGGATATGTATTAAAGCGTGGGGGTGGATGCCACCACAACATTAGGATATGTATTAAAGGGTGGGGGTGGAGGTTACGACAACATTAGGATGTGTATTAAAGGGTGGTGGTGGATACCACCACAACATTAGGATGTGTATTAAAGGGTGGGGGTAAATGCCCCTCACAACATTAGGATATGTATTAAAGGGTGGGGGGGGATGTTACGACAACATTAGGATGTGTATTAAAGGGTGGGGGTGGATGTCACGACAACATTAGGATGTGTATGAAAGAATGGGGGTGGATGCCACCACAACATTAGGATGTGTATTAAAGGGTGGGGGTGGATGTCACCACAACATTAGGATGTGTATTAAAGGGTGGGGGTGGATGTCACCACAACATTAGGATGTGTATTAAAGGGTGGGGGTGGATGTCACCACAACATTAGGATGTGTATTAAAGGGTGGGGGTGGATGTCACCACAACATTAGGATGTGTATTAAAGGGTGGGGGTGGATGTCACCACAACATTAGGATGTGTATTAAAGGGTGGGGGTGGATGTCACCACAACATTAGGATGTGTATTAAAGGGTGGGGGTGGATGTCACCACAACATTAGGATGTGTATTAAAGGGTGGGGGTGGATGTCACCACAACATTAGGATGTGTATTAAAGGGTGGGGGTGGATGTCACCACAACATTAGGATGTGTATTAAAGGGTGGGGGTGGATGTCACCACAACATTAGGATGTGTATTAAAGGGTGGGGGTGGATGTCACCACAACATTAGGATGTGTATTAAAGGGTGGGGGTGGATGTCACCACAACATTAGGATGTGTATTAAAGGGTGGGGGTGGATGTCACCACAACATTAGGATGTGTATTAAAGGGTGGGGGTGGATGTCACCACAACATTAGGATGTGTATTAAAGGGTGGGGGTGGATGTCACCACAACATTAGGATGTGTATTAAAGGGTGGGGGTGGATGTCACCACAACATTAGGATGTGTATTAAAGGGTGGGGGTGGATGTCACCACAACATTAGGATGTGTATTAAAGGGTGGGGGTGGATGTCACCACAACATTAGGATGTGTATTAAAGGGTGGGGGTGGATGTCACCACAACATTAGGATGTGTATTAAAGGGTGGGGGTGGATGTCACCACAACATTAGGATGTGTATTAAAGGGTGGGGGTGGATGCCACCACAACATTAGGATGTGTATTAAATGGTGGGGGCGGATGTCACGACAACATTAGGATATGTATTAAACGATGGGTGCCGATTTCACCACAACATTAGGATGTGTATTAAAGGGTGGGAGTGGATGCCACCACAACATTAGGATGTGTATTAAAGGGTGGGGGTGGATGTCACGACAACATTAGGATGTGTATTAAAGGATGGGGGTGGATGTCATCACAACATTAGGATGTGTATTAAAGTGTGGGGGGTGGATGTCACCACAACATTAGGATGTGTATTAAAGGGTGGGAGTGGATGTCACGACAACATTAGGATGTGTATTAAAGGGTGGGGGTGGATGTTACCACAACATTAGGATGTGTATTAAATGGTGGGGGTGGATGCCACCACAACATTAGGATGTGTATTAAAGGGTGGGGGCGGATGTCACGACAACATTAGGATATGTATTAAACGATGGGTGCCGATTTCACCACAACATTAGGATGTGTATTAAAGGGTGGGAGTGGATGCCACCACAACATTAGGATGTGTATTAAAGGGTGGGGGTGGATGCCACCACAACATTAGGATGTGTATTAAAGGGTGGGGGTGGATGCCACCACAACATTAGGATGTGTATTAAAGGGTGGGGGTGGATGCCACCACAACATTAGGATGTGTATTAAAGGGTGGGGGTGGATGCCACCACAACATTAGGATGTGTATTAAAGGGTGGGGGTGGATGCCACCACAACATTAGGATGTGTATTAAAGGGTGGGGGTGGATGCCACCACAACATTAGGATGTGTATTAAAGGGTGGGGGTGGATGCCACCACAACATTAGGATGTGTATTAAAGGGTGGGGGTGGATGCCACCACAACATTAGGATGTGTATTAAAGGGTGGGGGTGGATGCCACCACAACATTAGGATGTGTATTAAAGGGTGGGGGTGGATGCCACCACAACATTAGGATGTGTATTAAAGGGTGGGGGTGGATGCCACCACAACATTAGGATGTGTATTAAAGGGTGGGGGTGGATGCCACCACAACATTAGGATGTGTATTAAAGGGTGGGGGTGGATGCCACCACAACATTAGGATGTGTATTAAAGGGTGGGGGTGGATGCCACCACAACATTAGGATGTGTATTAAAGGGTGGGGGTGGATGCCACCACAACATTAGGATGTGTATTAAAGGGTGGGGGTGGATGCCACCACAACATTAGGATGTGTATTAAAGGGTGGGGGTGGATGCCACCACAACATTAGGATGTGTATTAAAGGGTGGGGGTGGATGTCACCACAACATTAGGATGTGTATTAAAGGATGGGGGTGGATGCCACCACAACATTAGGATGTGTATTAAAGGATGGGAGTGGATGCCATCACAACATTAGGATGTGTATTAAAGGATGGGGGTGGATGCCACCACAACATTAGGATGTGTATTAAAGGATGGGAGTGGATGCCATCACAACATTAGGATGTGTATTAAAGGATGGGGGTGGATGCCATCAAGACATTAGGATGTGTATTAAAGGAT